TAACTATTGTAACAATAAGAAATAAATTGTATAATTTTTAACAAATACTATGAATGTAATTAAGTAATGAATATTACAAAAATTACAATTATAATTAGAACTATACTGATCAATAGATCATACTCATGTACATTTTATTATGTTCATGATAACAGTATTATGACTACTATATTTTATGATAAGTATGATTATTGTACTAAATATTACTTAATCATGTAAACAACAATATAATAGCAATTAAAAATTATTAATGAACTTATTTTATGAATGTTTACCATTATTATAACTGCATTGATTATACATATATAGGTGAGCTGTATTTTTTGGTAAAATATCCATATCTTTAATGTAGATTACCATGAAAACTTTGTATTTTTTTTTTTTTGTTCTTTTTGCTTCTTTATTTTATATTTGTTTATTTTAGTGTTCTCTTCTTGGATATCGGGTTTAAGGAATTTTTCTTTTCGAAATTAGGTGTTGATCAACTTATATAAGTTCTTATCGTTCTTTTGTATAATATGGTCATTACTTTTGAAGCATGCCTTGAAGAACTAATATATTGGATAACCCTATATATATATATATATATAATGTCCATTATTGCAGATCATAGTATTTGATAATTTATATTTAATATATAATCTACTTCCATCAGCAGTGTGTAAAATTTGGGTTGTTTTATCAAAATATTTAGTAGGTACTAATCTTTCATTTAGACAGTTTAAATCTGCTCCAGAGTCAATTAAGGCTAAAGATTGGAAGTCATACGCATTATTGACTACAATTTTGACTAATACAAACCATTTTTGAGTAATCACTTTTTTAAGTAAATTTAAGGATGTAGTGTCGTCCTCTTTGATTTTGACTTCTGAGGATTCAGGTTTATTTTTAAGATTAGAAGTATGGACTAAATTATCAAATTCAATATCATCATTTTCAATTGCTGCTTCTGAAACGTTGTTTTGTAATTCTAGAATTTGTATCCTATTTTTTAATTGGGATACTTCAATTTTAATATTATTCACCTCTGTTTTGAGTTCAGCAATAGTGGGTTCTTTATGAATAACTTCATGTTGACTGATTCTTTTCATTATAGTAGAGAAGATGTATTCATCTGGAGGTTTGATCAACTTAACTGGTTTAGGTTTTTCTTTAGTTAAATTAATAAATTGTGTGATGATAACTGCCTTTTGTCATCTGGATCAAATATTTTCTCTATCAAATCTAGAATTATCTTCTTTTGTCAGGGTATGAAGATTGAGTTGGAATTTTACCAGAACAAGTTGGAGTTTTGCCAGAGCATTGTTCGCATTGCTCATTATCAGATTCATCTGATGTATTTGTCCAAATAAGATTTTCATCTTGTATATTTCCTAGTAGTGACATGTCGCTACTGGATTGAGAATCCGTATCAGAACTAGTAGAGGAATTATAGATTTGTACTAGGTCAAATAGATTATTTCTTAAGGAATCAACTAATATAAGAGTTTCGATTTTCTTTTTGACCTTACATTGGCTTTTATAATGGCCAATTTTACCACATTTATAGCAGACAGGTAATTCTCTTTTGCCCTTTTTCTTAAAGGCAGAATATTTAAGAGCAAATCGTTTGATAAATTTTTCTCTTTTCTCTCTATGTTTATATTTCTTAGAATGATATTTTTCTTTTTGGTTAGATCTATGTATTTTTTTATGAGATTTATGAATTTTATCTTTTTCTATATGGTAGCCAAATTGTTCACAAAAATCACCTAATTCTTTTCTACCAGCCATTTTTTGTTTATCAAGTTGTTTCTTTAATTTCATATCTGTGCATAATGCTAATCCTTCAGCATATATTTCAGTAGATTATAGCAACTCACTGTTTACAAATACAATAACTGGAGAAGATACTTCATTCGTAAGGACAGTAAGAGGGAAGAGAAGGGATATTACAATCACACATCTAAAATTACAGAGTAATAGAGGTTACCAACTTTATGTCAAAAATCTAAAGGGAAAACCTCTATGAACTTAGTTCCTTTACGTTTATCTAAGCTCCCAGTGCTCAGCAAACCTTTTTTACCATTACAACCCATGTCTCCATTACGATCTACCAATGTACCGGAATATTTTATCCAAAGTCCACAACATAATACACCATCCAGTCCTGCTTTTTCTCCAGCCCAAATCCCATATAAATCATCCTCCTCTTCTACCAAGTCAGTATATATTGACAATGCTTTTATTGCTGATATTATCGTTGATGACAAACATGTTCATATCAACCCAAATAAATTAGCCCCCCTGTATCTCCAAAACCATTTAAGTCCTCTTAATGGCATCAAAACTAGAGAATGGTATGAGTCTGTTTTAATGGAAACAGGTTCAGTTTCAATTGTCCACTTCTTCCAAAGCAATACGAATGTATATGCTTACTCCAAGTTACAAATCAAAAAGTTCTTGGCATATGAAGATTGGGGTAATAACCCCACGCAAGGAAAAAAATTATTAAATACAGAATATCAATATAAATATTATCGATATGCAGAATATATTGAAGCTTGGCATAAAATCTTCTTTTACCAAAATCCAAATAATTCTCACTCATGGTATATCCAATTTAAAATGCCCATTCTTGAGAGATTTCTTAGTTGGTTCCGTCATTTAGTTCTTTATTTGGGGATCTTCTACCCAAATACTACCTGATTCCTTTAAAGCCTTCCAAAATAAATTCAGTGAGCATAATACTTGTTCTGACCAAATTGATTACCATATTTACTTTATGGCCATATATCAGATCCCATGGATTGTCAAATGGGAATATGCTATTAATGAAAATACTTCGAATAACTTTGAATACATTCCTCGCCTAGGGAAAAATATAAAAATCAACTGGTGAGATATATTTAGCACTAACCCACAATCTCTTTCGCTCAAGAGGATTCCTCTTTCCTCAGAGTTCTGTCATAATACTCCTGATAATAATACTGTTACACTGAATACATTTTCTTCTTATATTCAAAAGATAAAACAAGCTCATCTCCATGCTACACTCGAAGATATAGAAAAACAACTCTTTGCAATCTTTGTCGATCTTTCTACGGTTCCTACAACATCAGAAGAGACTGTCCAGTCTGGTAATCCTCTCCTTGGAGAATTTAGCCAAAGACCCGAAGGCTGACAACCAAACCCGAAGACCCTGCTCATCAGAAAACAGAGACCTCAACCACATCCGATATGACCTAAAGCTGATATGACCTCATCTTTATCTTTACTTTCGTTTGATATGACCCAAAAGCATATTTCTTTTTAGATGACAAGACCCCAACTACAGTAAATATTCTCTTACATAGTGTTTCATTACCTGAGCGATCGCCACGTGTTGAGAAAAGACCCCAACTACAGTATACGAGATTCGCTTGCATAATACCTATCGCCACGCGTCACTATCCTCTCCTTAGACCATTATCATCGCACCATCGCCAAGCAGCATCATCTCTTTCGACTGTCACTATCGCCATGAGTCAGCAACCGACACACTTACTGTTAAACCTATCTCCACCAGATTTTCTGAAGATAAGCACAAACCACAAAAGCATGGCAACCGTCCACCTGTCGCACATCCCTGCGCCTATAAATACCGCTTCCCTCAACAAAGAAGGCAGGTCGAATTTCAAGGAAGCCATACGAGAAGACCTTCTTCATCGCTTCTCTGAGTCACCTCTCTCTCTCATTCCTCTTTCTCTTTCTCCTTTCTTTAATACTGTAAATTCTCATACAGTAAGTTTGCTTTCATAACAGTCCTGTGTAAGCGACATGAAGTTGGTAACCTCTATTACTCTGTAATTTTAGATGTGTTATTGTAATATCCCTTCTCTTCCCTCTTACTGTCCTTACGAATGGAGTATCTTCTCCAGTTATTTTATTTGTAAACAGTGAGTTGCTATATATAGTTTATGATCACTCTGTTTATGATTAATGCAATTTAAATTAGTATTCAGTATTAAAATTAGAAATTCAATTTATACTTCTTGGATTGTCTTAGATATTTCTGTAATCTTTGCTGTCTTCATACTATTCTATTCATTTATTATATAGGAATTTTACAACAATTAATTAACTACAATTATGCTCTATTCATGTATTTAAGGTAGTAATTTCTGTTCTTTAATCTAGTTTAATCTAAACTGGTAGATCTTCGCGCGTTTATATATATATATATTTATATATATATAGGGAAAAGATGGGATTCGCCCACTAGCTCACATAAACATATGAGCCCAATGTCCCGGATTGATTCTGGGGCGATCTGACGATCACGGATGTCCGGTAGTGTTTGAATTTTAGTTTTTTTTTTTACAAATCCAAATCACTTTAAATTTTAGGCGTGTGTTCATAAAAAATAGGTGAATCTTTGAAAAATATCAAAAAAATATTTTACATGAAATAAATAGACCAAAATACCCCCAAAAAGTTTCAAGGGGTATTTTGGTCATTTTGTTTTCACGAATAATTTTTTTTTATATATTTATTAAGTGCGCCTTGATGAGAAAAACACACACTTAAAAATTTC